CCAGCCTCGCCTCCCTTTGCTGAACTTTCTCCAAGTGAAATGCAACCATTAACAACTTGTTCCTTTGGAATCTGAAGGTCGTCCAGTTTTCCAAAGCTCCCGTTCAAGGGCAAATGCCCCAAGGACAGACGATGTTGTAAGCTTTCGCTGAAGGCCCCCTGAGGCAGAGAGCACCTGCTGAATCAGTACGTTGATGAAGAACAGAGCATAGAGGCCCCTGACCCGGCTTAGACAGGCTGCCAGAAGACAACAATGAGAACAGTAAGCATGACGGTGATAGACAGCTGACATTTCTATAGCTCTGGATTCCTTCCAGACTTGACACATGATTCCCTCCCATGCTCACAACATCCTATGGTGGGAGGACTAGTCTTCCCCCTCCCCCGCCTCTGCTTTCAAGCCGTGGGAACGGAAGCCCCAAGAGATCCCATTCCTCACTCACAGCCAGACACAGAGGAAACTCAAGTTTGGGTTCAGTAGCCTCCCGGCCTCTCAAGGGACAAAACTATGCTTTGAACCCAGGCTCCTGGTCAGACTCATGCTACCGAGTGCATGGCAGGAGGACACCTGAGAGCAAAGCAAACATACCAAGCCAGGAGAGCTCCCCATCTTCATCTTGGCCAAAGGCCACTGTGGAGTGCGGGGCATCTCAGTGAAACTACCCTGGACAGAGGCCGTGGTCTCCATGCTGGTTGTTAATGGGGAAGTTTCTTCTGTCTTTGAACTTGAACCTTACCATCTTCATGGCACCTGCAGACCCAGGTGCATCGTCAACTCTATCTCTCAGGTTACCAAGGTGGCATGGCTGGTTTTTATCCCACTTAAAGGGGATGGATGGAAATTTGCAGAGTTCAAAGCTCACCAAGGGGTAGCCCTGTCACTCTGAGGGCTGCATCAGCCTCTCCTTGGGGAACCGGATGTCCTGCCTCCATGGGGAGGAAGGATTTCCCGCAAGCCCCTCCTCCACCCCAGACGGGAGTGCAGAAGCTCGCAGCAGACTTCCAGGGGCCCCTCCTGCTGCTTCTACCTGCAGATGGGCCCCTTCTTGGTCACAAATATTTGACCACCACAGCAAACTATTCCTGAGAGTTCTCGGATCCGGGGTTTTGTTCTGAAGCCCTTATTCATGGTCTCTGTCCAAAAGCTAACAGACATCGACATTACTGCATTTGTCCCAGTGCCTGGGGCTTCAAGTATACAAATATCATAGAGAAATTTGGAAGGCTTCATCCAGGTTTAGCTGGACTCAGAGACTTACCGGATTTTGAAAGTGCTTTGCATAACAACAGATTTCTGTTTGGGAGTGAATCTTCCCATCACCCAAAGACAGAGCTTTCACTTTAATTTGATCCTGGGGAGAACCCACAACCTTCTTCTGGACCTTTCAGCAAGCCACTCAGAAGGGAGTGCATGTGTGTGTACAGTGTATGTGTGTGTGTGTGTGTGTGTGTGTGTGTGTGTATCCTATCAGCACACATGGCAATCGTGGTTCTTGTAAAGATTTCATAGAATTAGGGTGTCTGAGTACTTTAGATCCAGTGGAAATTTGTTGTAAATTCAAACCGTCCAAATTCACTGTATCTTAACGTGCTCATCTTGCCATAGCTCCAAAAGGAGGATAACATACAAAATTATATGTAAAGGACTACGGAGGGTTTCAGGATCTCAGGCGTTCGCGACCATCAGGAACTACCATCATTACCGACAGCGCTTCTATCTACAAGGTATATTGCACGATCAGGATTGATGATGATCCCAATATCATACAGACTTCCTCCTACAAATGTCACATGCAGTGTTCTTGACAGCCAGGCAAGAACAGTGGAAGAACAGAAGAGCCATTTTGAATCCTGGGGACCTGAGGTGGGTTTATTAAATAAGACCACCATTCGGCCATCTTGCCCCCTACTTGGGTTAGATTCTTTGGACCATGGTACCAAGAGTTCTGGTTTTATTTTTTTTTTTAATTTTCATTTATTTATTATTCAGAGTTCTTGACTCCAGAGACTTGTCAGACCATGGTGGTAGTGTCTGTCGGTGACTTACGGCCATATGATACATAAATTGGTGAGCCACAGTAATCAGCATAGTGCGCGGTCACATGGCTGCCCGTGGCGGCACGCCAGAAGATGAAGTCTATTCCTGAGAAGAGATTTCTAGAAACCTTCAAAACGTTTCTTAGGCTTCCTGAGAACTGGTGTCTCCATTCTTCTCAGGTTCTTTGGATGACCTTCAATTAGTTCTTATGTCATTAGCTATCAACTTGGGCCATCTTTTCTCAAGAATTATTCTAGCAGGATACCATGAATCCTCTCTCACTGATCCTGGGTTAGTAATTTCATGTCTACAGGGGTGAACAACCTCTTGACTTGAGTGGTTGAATCTTGGAATCCACTTGAAACTCACTGCCCCTCACTGGCACCCAGATTCCTCCCTTCTGTCCATGCCCTAAGTCTGACATGATGAAGAATAGGGCCACTTAACATTCTTTGTTAAACTCCTAAATCCATGTTAGAAGTAGGAGGCTCGGCTCTCCTTCCCCACAAGCACACGACCTTCCCTGTCATCTGTGGGCGAAGTGACCGAGCCCTAAGGGTGGTACCAGGTAGCAGGAAGGCAGGCAGGGGAATGACACCGGTGAATCCTTCTCTCACTTGACCATCAGGTCCAGGCCCCTCCCACTGAGTGGTGGGGTTCTTGCTGCGTTTGGGTCCACAGAAGGGACAACAGCAAGTGTACTTTCCTTGGGTTTCATTTCTTCTTCACTCCAAAGTCCATAGATTTGTCAATTGGCTTTTGGCAAGTGGGAGAGTTGATCAAATTCAGCCTTGTGTTAGATGCGACAATGGAAGCAAAAGATTCAGAAACACTATCCGAAAATTTAGATTACCTTCCAAAAAAGGCAAGGTTGAAGGAAGAAGATAATGATTCAACACCACAAACAGTTCATGCCTGCTCGCCCTGTGCCAGGAAGCAGTTCCGGCCAGGAGCCCACAGCTACTCAGGGGGGAACTGATACACAGTGGCCCACAAAAGTGGCGTCCCAGTTGGGCAGAGCCTCGAAAGAAGGGAGAGCATGGAAATGGTATTTCAGGGAGATGGTCACACAGCAAGTGTGTGGAGACCTTGAGGAATGAAACCTCTTTGCAGAGACCACCCGTGGTTCGGTTCAGTGTGGATGGAGAGAGGAGGCTCCAGAGAAGCCTGGAGAGGTGGCTGGGACTGGACTTGAAGGTCCCAGTGATTTCTCAGACTGTCGGTGGCCATCCCAACCTTAAGGCAAGGAAATCACAGTGAAGCTCCTACGTTTGGAGCCCGCTCTGGTATTTCTGGGGAGGGTGAGCAGTAGGTGGGACACCTGGTAAGCTCGAAACCCTCCTGCAGGCCACCATGTTCATAGGCTGGGCAAGAGTTGGGACACACTGGACCAGCCTCTGAGCGGGGACGGGAAAGAGGAAGATTCAATGGATAGGTGAGGTTTGTCCTTGCAGACCAGTTGGCTAAGGAGGGAAGAAAGAGAGTGCTCACTCCACAAACCCACTAAGAAGGAAAGAAGATTGGAGCCCCGTGCGCCCTATGAAGTGAAAGTGACCTTCAACCCCAAATGTTTGGTTAGTCTCCAGTGTCGCAGGAACAAGACTGTTTTGCTAACTACTTAGCAGGACTTCTGCTATGATTGTTCTAGAAAAAGTGCTGAATACTATGTTTGGATGTTTCTTGGTATAAACGGTTGGGCCCATTTATTTACTAGTTTGTTTTTCTGAGCAAATGAAACCCAGCCTTGAGCCCTGACCCCTCTGGGTGCTGGGTGGGACGGCACAGACGGGCTTCCGGGAATGGCCCTTCTATGGCCTCTGAGCATCGGGGGGGAATGCAATTGTTCCCCTGGAACTTCCCAAGCCAGATGCTTTCCTGGTGGCTCAAGATGGCAGAAATGTGTGCACGTCTGCGGGGCAGCAGAACAGAAGCCTCGAGCATGGGGGACTGTGAGGATTGCCCCAAGAATCCACCTTCGGTCCTGATCGAGAGCCTGTTGAGAAACAGTTGAGGTCAAGGGTTACTATTCAAAACCTAAACTTCTTTAAAACCATACTGGCCTTGGCTGTTTGGAGAGTTTGGTTCCCGCCAGACACATTCTACTGTCTCCTCTTGAAATGCTGAGGTTCTGGAAATTCCAAGAGCTTAGACTTCTAGCTCCGCCCCCGAGACACATGGTTCTCTTAGCCCACTGCAAACACACACTCCCTCTCCCGCGTGTCATGCTCCGCTTGCTTCTCTGTAAAGAGTTGATGGGGGGGGATGAGAAAGTGAACTGGCTTAGTGCTGAGACCTGAGTCAGGATCCCAGGGGGAGGGATTTATGGCTTTTTTTGTGTGTGGAACCGGGATCAGCAAAGCACGGTCCAGGGGCCAAATCCCTCTCCTATTTTCGTACAGTCTGGCAGCTGAGGATGGTTTCTACAATTTAAATGGTTGGGGGGAGGGTGGACAGGGAAGACTAATTATTTCATCTCTCAGGGAAAGCGTACAAAATTCAAATTTCAGCATCTAAAAAGAAGTTTTGAATTTCATCACTACAACGTTGGAAATTTATTTCTTCTCTTGTCATAGAGGTACCTAACATAATACCTTTGATTTTGTGTCTTGGCATGCAAAGCCTAAAATACTGGCTATCTAACGTTTCACAGAAAAAGAAACCAGGTGTCAGGAACATTGTCTTCTGTCACCAGGAGAGCCTGCATTAAAACTGTCCCCAAGATGGGAAGATCTTACCTATTCCCAGCCAAGTTATCATTTGTCGGTAACTTATTAATTCTCCAAGTAACTTAATGTTTGTCCAAATATACTGGCTACTTTTCTGCCCTTTGCTAATATGATGTTTGCCAAGGAAGCGCAATCATACTATTGATACTATTGGTAGTAACGATGATGTCCTCTGAGCCATGGGGGCTGCTTGGGGGCCAAGTAGCAGAGCTGACCTGCCACTCTTTGTGTCCGCAGGTCACAGGCCTTTTCAGTGCCGATACTGTCCCTACAGTGCCTCTCAGAAGGGGAACCTGAAGACCCACGTCCTCTGCGTCCATCGTATGCCTTTTGACAACAGTCAGTACCCCGATCGCCGGTTCAAACGCTCCAGAGTCGACTCGGAGGCTTCTGGGAATTTCGAAGACCCCACAGCTGTCAAGGCGGGGAGCTCAGCAGAGCTAACAGAGGAGGGTTGCAAAGCCCAGGAGGAGCGTAACTGAGCAAACTGACCTGTATATTGCAATATTATTTTACACAGTTTTAAGATTATGCATCTGGTAAAAGAGTTTGCTAACTGCATTCCAAGGGGAAGAAAGAAAAATCATGTACAACCCCCCAACTAGTGTATAGAACATTTAAAAAATTTAAAAAGATATCTATATATATATATTAAAAAAAAAAAAAACACAAAAACACACTCAAAAAAAAACCCCACAAAAACAAGTCCCCAGCCCTTGAAAATGGCTGCTAAACTGTTACCCGGCAACAAGTACTTCTAAACAATGCAGGTGGAAGAGGAGTGATTTCTGAAAGGCTTGGTGTCCTCCAAGCCGGAGAAAGCTGGGGGGCTTCCAAACTCTGAAGTCGTCTTTGTCCCCCAGTCATGCTCTTAACTGAAAAATGATACCATCTAAATGATTTAGTGTTGCCTTGAAGATGGAGGGGTTGTGTTTTCATTGTTGAAAACACCTCTATAATCTGCCACCAGCTGCGGCCGTCTCCCCCCTACCCCAACCCCTAATGAGAAGTGCTGAGAGGCAGCCGCTGGTGCCAGTCAGGCTGGAGCGGTCACTGCAGAGAAAATCAATTCACGTGGTGTCCCAACTGCACTCGCGGAGAAATCCTAGCCCGCCGCGCCCACGGCTGCTGCCCAGGGCTGTGGAGGATTGCCATTTCACACGTGCATTTAAACAAACAAACAAACAAACAAACAAAAACACACACACAGCCAAATGAATCCACGGTCAGGAATTATCTGCAGACAGATGCCCATTGCAGGTTTGATGAGTAATTCCTTTTTTTTTTTTTTTTTTTTAAGATCAATTTGCAGTATTGAGGGAAATGCTTTTTTTTCCTCCGTTGTCTTTTTTTTTTTTTTTTTCGGATGTAAAAGAAGTTTTTTACAAAAAAAAAAAAAAAAGATTAGATTAGGGGTACATGATTTAAAATGTTTTTGAGGAAAACTAGCCAACTCTACCCACAGAAGGTGCTGGTGAGAAATGGAAATTCATGTCGTAATAGAAAGATTTTTTTTTTATTACAGTTTTTAAAAATTTTACTTGAATGAAGGCTGCTCTGGTCCTTATTATCAGCTTTGTTTAAATGTGTTCGTTTTCGTAAGTATCGTGACATGAAGCAAGATTTTCTCCTCTGACAAGCTCTTAGGAAATAGCTTGTATTAAAAACACAAATCTACACATCCTGCTCTCTATCGCTAATGAAGAAAACTGTTCGAGTTCAAATGTCTGTTTTTGTAAAACAAACGTGTTCTATATTTTTGTAGATTTTAGATTTTTTTACTGATTGGATACTCCAAATTTATTGAGTTCTGCACCACCCAGAGGGAGATTTTGAGGGCCAATAATGAAATACTTAACTCATTTAAAAAAACAAAAACAAAACAAAATAAAACAAAAAAATGAAGAAGAGTCAAGGGTTTATTCTTGAATCTGCTAGAATGGTGTCTAAGTTCAGCCTCTTAACATACTTCCTTTGAGTGACACGAAATTGGTGCTGTTGCTTGTGACGGTAGAGATGTATTGAAGTATTAACTTCTAAAACGAAATCATTCAGACTTAAAAAAAAAAACAACAAAAACAAATAAACAAACAAAAAAAAAAACAGTCGATATTTTCTTGCAGGCTGGGAGCACAGAATAAAACCCCAGGGCCTTAAAACTTCAGCTCTGCCTACAGCAGTTTACAAAAATTCTAAACTGCAATCAATGTAAATAAAATGCTTAGCGCTATCCTGAGACCAGAAGGGATCTCAGGCTAATAAGGGATCGGGTTTGCATATGCGGTCCAGAGGGCGTCACCCACCCCGAGGTTTCAGTGCAAATGAGGTCGCTGTGCAGCGTGGACCCATCTGGCATAGAGCAAGCCGCTTTCTCATTTTTCTAGACTAGTTCTCACTGCCTTACTTAAATCGAGTTTATCAACTTAATGCAACTGTTTCTATGATCCTAGAGGAAGGACTGAAATGTTACTGAAAACTTTCTGACTGTAGTGAGCTTTAGGATTTTAACTGCACTACTGTGTTTGGTGACTGTGTCAGTCGCTTGCTTTTTGTGTGTTTGCCCCGCCTTTGGTATCTTAGCAAAGAAAAATATTAAAAAAACAAAAAAACAAAAAAAAGGAGAAAAAAAAAGGAAAAAGAAAAAAAAAACAAGAGGAAAAAAAAAGTGGGAAAAAAAAATGAGAGCCACATTCCATTTCTAGCACTTTGGAAGCTCTTTTGGTATTCTTTTTGTGTCTTCTGAGCATCTTCAGATGCGACAGGCAATAATTCTGTTTGTGACACTGGGAACATCCCCTCTTCTTTGTGGCGTGTGTGTTGATTCCATTTTGTCCAGTGCTACCGTCCTTATTTCCCCCTCTGACACAAGCCTTCTTTCCAGAACATTTGTAACTTGTAATACAAACAAGTGACAGCCGCAGTGATACGCAGTGTCAGTTTCTGAATGTCTCCAGGCCCTCATATCTAAACATGTCAAGTTTTTTCCCCTGTAACTTCTGTAGTCTGTGATGCTGGTCATAATACTGTCTACATTCCTACACAAAGAAAAAAAAAATCTATCTTGGAGTAAATCTGAGATCAATAGAGTAGAGGATTTTGTTGCTATGCTTGTAACAAGTAGAAAACTTTGTATTTAAAGTTTATTCTTGGTCATTATTTATTATTATAATACATCAGTTGACAGAACTTTATTCTGGTATAGAAAGTATTAAAAGTTGTTTTTTCAGCAATGACTGTTTTCTTTCTGCTGTTAGAATAAAATGTCTTTGAAGCAGTCCAGTTTTATCCAGTGTTTTACGCAATAAAACCTCTACCTCTGGAAAAAAAAAATCTTTTCCTATTCACTTATGTCTCTTAGGAAGAGTGAAACATATTTTTCCATCTTCGCCAGGCTTCGGGAAGGCTTGGTCAAACCCCACTTATTAAAAAAAAAAGCTCTGCCTTATTCTGGGGGGAAACGGTCCCTACAGCCTTGTGCTTTTTTAAGCCCCGTGAATATCCCTGTGCAGTTTAAACAACGTGAGTGTGTATGTGAGTGTATACGCACAACCACGTGTATGTGTGAGTTGTTTCTTCAAAGGCTGCAGACATCGGTTTCAGGAAAGTAAAACCGTATGATCCTCCCATTACAGCAATTATCTAAGACACCGAAAGCTTTGGGATCTACTACTCCCCTTTACTTGTAGAACGTTGCTTTAAAAAATCATTAAATACAAGAAGTCTTTTACAGAGGATAATCTGAATTCTTCCTCTGGAAGAAAAGGAAAAGACCGGAGAACAATAAAGTCTCCGGTATCAGGGCTGCCGATAAAGCAGGCCTCTGACATTGACCTGAGAGGGTTTGAAGTGTGTTCCCCACACTTGATGTGCACAGTTGCTTTTTGATTTGTTTTTGTTACTGTTGATTTGGTTTCAAAACCAGGCTTGTACAGTGCCGCCCGCAACTGTGTGGAGGACCCAAGGAGATGCTTCAAGCAAAAGCATCCACCCACATTGTATAGGAATTTGTAAATCCCCATATTTCTTTCAGGATGCCAGACTACTGCTACATCCAGAGGGATGGGAGCAGGTGGCTGGAACGGAGTTTTGAGCAGCCCGGACTGCTGGTTGTTACAACAGCAAAGGTGAGTCTCGAAGTTTCAGTGGGGGGTTGAGCAGGGACCCCATCAGGGAGGGAAGGTTATAACGCCACATACATATGTGTTGGATCCCAAACCAAAATGTCTCCAGGGACCAGACAAGAACCCGCAGTGGTGAGAAGAGGAGAGTAGGAACAGAGGTTCTGGGGTCGGGTGCCCTCAGCCACCGCTTTGTCATGTCCGTGAGGAAAGTGGCATCAGGTTTTTGGAGTTTTCCAGAGACACGGAACACCTGTTTTTACATGATGGTTCAAAATGTGTTTTCAAAACCTGCATAATAAATAGACGAACAAAATGTGGTCTATCCATAGAAGGGAATATTATTCTGCCATCAAAAGGAATGGGGCACCATGGACGAACTTTGAAAATATGGACCAACTTCGAAAACATTCTGTTTTTGAAAGAGGCCAGTTATGCAAAAGCACATATTATATCACTTTCAGGAAATGTCTAGAATGTCCAGAATAAGCGTGAGGACAGGTTGCAGGGTTGGGGTAGGAGAAGATGGGGAGTGACCGTGCACAGGTTCAAGGTTTCTTTTTGGAGTGATAAAAATGTTCTACAATTAGCTAGTAATGGTGGTTACCCACGTCTGAATGTACTAAAAACCACTGAATTGTACACTTTAAAAAGGTGAATTTTATGGTATGTGAATTATTCCTCAATAAGGCTGTTATAAAATAAAAATAAAACTGGAAGAAGGCCTTTCTGCGAAACATCAATATATATTTCCATCAAAATGTTTTGAGCTCTCTGCAATCATAGATGATCATCAGATTACCACACTGTAGACAATTACAAAATAGCGGGTGTGCAGACTTAAATTTGAACCCTAGCTCTACTATTTACTGGCTGCTTGATCTCGAATGTTGTGACCATTCTGAGTTCACTGGTCATATCTGCAAAATGATTAAATTAAATACAATAAAGTAGGGAAGATCATATGTAGGTTTTGTAAATTTTAGTACAATTTGTAAATTGCACTATTGTGGCATAATAAGTTATGGATAAATTTGGGATCAATTGCACACCCACGAAACACTGTACATTAAACTCCCGTGTTTGCGGAAAGGCTCCCTGGTGGTCAGGATTCCTCCACACCCACCCCCTTCAGACAAGACAGTCCTGGAGAAATGTCTTAAGCTCTCTGTTTTCCAGAATCCTCATTAAAAAAAAAAAAAAAACACAATATGAGCAACTTTTTTGCCATTTTCCGAGTACTGAATCAGAGCAGCTAGGAGAGCATAGTGTGGGATATAGCAAGAGAATTGGTCTTGGGGTTCGATGCTATTCCACTCACTAGTTCAGTAAAATTTACAGAAGACCTCCCATGTGCCAGGCAT